TCACGTTACCCGGGCCGTGTGGGTCTGTTCAAGATGCAACAATTAGAAGTAGGGATAAAAAAAAACATTACACAAAGAACATTTTAAAACAATATGAACAAAAATTACAAACAAATATTTAGTTATCAAAAAAAGACACATTTGACAACAGCATCTCGCAAAGTAATCTACTTCAAAAGTGCAGGAATACATTTTCAGTTTTTCTAACATCTTCTACGGAGTTCAAAATGGTCTAATCATCACTGTACAAAGTCATAGAAACGCTGTCAAAATACATATACTGAAATAATATACCAGAGTGTTCAGGGGCAACGTGAACTTAATTATTCATATATCAGTGGATATCATAATAGTAAATTTCTTACTTCTGAGTAGTGTTACGTGACTCGCGGCAAAATTGATTTTGATCTTATAAAACTGACAACTACTTGTTGATGAGTGAGAGTCTAGTTTTTGTGAAAAGATTTGTTGTTTAATTATTTATAAAGTGTCAATCTGAGGTTATATTTGTCCTTGCATGTTTTTTTCTCTGTTTAACTTATGGCGCGTTCAAAACTCATGTTTATTTTAACTTTAATTATTAATTATTCCATGGACGTTTTAGAGTACTCCGAGCGATACCATATTCCGAGCATGGAACATATAGAAGAACAGGTGTGAAGTATATCATATTTAAAGATTATTCATTGACAACATTTTTACATTTTTTTTTATTATTATTTTTATCTTTCAGATTGTTCATCGGGTCCCTGTCAAAACAACGCCGCCTGTGTCGAGTCAGTCGTTGAGCCGTTCTATATATGTCAGTGTCCCTTCCCATATCACGGACAAGACTGTGACAGAATGGGAAGTAAGTATGTTTCTGTTTACTAGTATGAAGACAGAAGTGGTCCATATCTTGGGTCGTAGAAAAGAAACTATTCGATATATAATGCATTGTGTATTATAATGCAAAGTTGTGACGCTCACGTATTTTATGATGATGAGCACTGTAACAAAGTTGACCCAGCATTTCAACTTAAAATTCTGTTGTTTAAGTTCTAGGCAGCCACATTTATTAATGCATGTCTGCCTCCATTCACAGAATCCTGGCGATTGTGTTTGCGTTGTTTGAGTGGCGCCTTCAGGCCCAAATTAGGAATGTACCATTAGCTCCGTCGTCGCGGGCGATGGCTAGCCTTCGAAGTTATATTTGCAAATCATATAATATACGAGGAAAAATAACCTTTATGGAGGCTGAAGGACACACGTTGGTTTAAGCAAAATAAATGCCAGCTTACTGATAAAAGAATACAATGAGCATGGAAATTGTAATCGAGACGCCCATCGACATCTATGTAGTCCACCCTTTTTAACTGTGTGACCGTGGTTCATTATGAGTGAATAACATGGAAGCGCAGTGATCATCATTACGTAATCACTCGTGATAATAGAAATAGAAAATTTCGTATGTAACTTTCGTAAAAATTCTCAACTGCGGTTATTTTATCATCGTTTGAGCATGCACAATTGAAGCGCCTACAGATGTCACACCACGTCCTGTTCGATACTGGAGCCCACAGAGACATATACAATGCGTGTAAAATACATTGTTTATTTACGTCGTATTCTAACACGCGCTGCGCGACGACTGTAGCGATTTAACTGAACTAAAACCTATGCGAGAACTCTGAAGTGAGACTTGGAATATAAGTAGAATTTCATAACTAAACAATATTACAAGTATACATGAATTTTATTCATTTATAATTGACCAGCAGAAGCCTAACGTTTATTTTGTTTTACTTGCAGCTGCCAATTGCGGGAACAATTACTACGAGCCGTCGGGAGAGATTACGTCACCAAATTTCCCGCAACTTTACAATAATCGGGATTACTGCCAGTACGTCATCAAGGTAGCAAACGCACATTCCATTTTCTTTTCATTTTCTAACTTCGAAGTAGAGGAGAATAAGGACACTTGTGAGATAGGTCCGGGACCACTGGCGGATTTCAGTATACCGGAAGTGCAGGCTTTTGACGGCGATATACTTCCGCCCGATATCGTCTACAGCAATGAGAACCAAGCTTTCATAATATGGACGACAGACAGGAATATATTGAAAACAGGATTCCGATTGGTCTACTCAACGGGTGAGTCATTATATCCAGCTGAATTGACGAATAGTAGTTCCTAGTCGTTGGTATTGTTAACGTGTTCGTCAAGTTTTTCCTCCGATCGAGAAGGAATTGCGCACTGTTTCTTTCATACCACGCATGCGTGTATGGCGCATTCCTATTGGTCTCTCGTCGTAGGTGGGTTTCCAATAGACAATAACGTGCAAATAGAATATCAGGCACATTTTAGGATTAAATTAAATTAGTTGTATAACTAAACAGTGAAATAGTTTTTTGTCAGATGTTCAAATGAAACAGCTTCATTGTCACTTATATTTGGCTACATTTAAAAGAAACCCATTTGAAAATTCAGCGATTCAGCCATTTCAAAACAAATGGTATCATATTTGAACATTTTCTAAACGTTTAATTTAAAATACATACTGAGACCCATTGGAACCAATTCATGAGAAAATAAAAGTTATCACATGACCTTGGCATGAATATGCTTACCCATTGTGATGTGAATTATATGTATGGTTTCATACTGACATGATTCCACATTACGACTCTCGCACAATAGGCGAGTGGCGGCATTGGATTTTCATTTAGAAAATGACAGTCTACTTTAAAACTATCGCTGATTCGATGTCTGCGGGTAGCCTATAAAAACGTTTATTTATGTAATAGTTTAGTCTTATTTGCGGACGTAGAGGGCAGTATCAATAATACTTTGCTGAAGACATCATAACTAATTTGATGCAACACAGCTCGGAAAATTACAGCTGCCTGTGCGGGCGTTTCATACAACCTTAGTTTTACCACCTCTTTGTCACTACCAACACCAGATAGATCAGTATTTCAGAATTGATCGAGTAGCTGATATGCCTCAACGCGGACGTTCAGTGTGCGTTTTCATTGATGTATATTGCGCTCTTCTGTCTCCAAAAGCACACCAACAGTTATCGTTATTTTCATCCACAGATGGCGATGAGTGTGCCAGTAATCCGTGTTTTCCGGGTTATCAATGTAATGATTTGATACAGAGATATGAATGTCAAGGTAGGCTCAAATATGACGTGTACTTCAAATATAACTGGCATTATGATATTACTAAGTCTGTTTCAAGAATTATACCGCATTCGGTCATGTGACCTCATCTGGCTGCAGCTCCTGTTATACCAATATTTGATCGTACCCATCGTTCTAAGCATTGTACTTAATACTGGCAGAGGACAGTTTTCTCCCAGCATTTTTTGTCAGCATTTACTCTGAGAATACTACTTTTTTGCAGCATGTACTAGGAAAGTATTCTATCTTTGTTACACAAGTGTGCTTGAGCTGCAGAAAAAATATATAAAAACGCGATTTAACTTCCAGCAAGGATTAAGTCCAATAAATAACAAAATATCCTTGCTTATTACCATAAAAACAATGTGAAGTCCCCAAAGGCGGCCATATTGAATTGAAAATATATTCATACAATTCATTATACAACCAAAGTTTAAAATATGATAGTGTTTTTGTTTTGTTTTTTCGGGCTTTTACACAGTCAGTCACACTGGGATTTTTCGAACATTGCAGCGCAGAACATTGCTGGGTTCAAGGTGTGCTTATCACTACACAACTACATCGTCCTGTGTGCTATCTGCAGTTGTAAATTCCGGCTAATAACGCATAATTAGTTAACGCGAGATTCAAATGTTTATACATATTTATAGTATATATACCACAACTTTCTAAGCGGCTCGATAAACTACTGGAATACAGTAAGTCATCTATTTATAACCAGCGATGTTTTTCTTTTGTGCTTCTAGAAATTGACGAATGTGCCAGCTTCCCGTGTCAACATGGCGGTACATGTATCGATCGCATCAACTACTACGAATGTGTATGTCCACCGTCTTATACTGGGCAGAATTGTCATATACGTAAGTAGATCAACTACTAGTAAACGTACATTACCTGCCCTAACTCGTAATTTGTTTTGATTTCACAATTGAAGAAACTCAGTATACTAAAAAAAATTGTTTTCAGTGCTAAATTACTAACTCATTATTCAAGACATATATTTTGTTTCAGTGTAGGATAAGTGACTCAGTTCTTACTCGTAGTATCATGTGTTGCAATAAGCTCGTGATATTAATTGCTAGGATATGTTACGTACTGCTAGAAAGTACTTGTTTTTTTATACAGTGACTGTACATGTACATGTGCACAAACAAGAGTAATATTGCTACCTGTGCTCAGTACTTAGTGCACGTGTAAAACGTTACATGTAAGCTAAAATAAAAAATTTGAACTGTTAATTAATAACAACGAGTTGATATATTCTATGGCAATTATTACTGAATATTGTCCGCTGAGGGCGCACCATGATGTCGCCAGAGCGATGTTCAGATTTGGACAAGTATATAGATAAGTTGCGGGTATAACTCCATTCAACCATTTTCAAATAATGGAACATACATTGTTTGTTTTAACCTCATACAGAAGTTGATTTATGTGAAACTGGTCCCTGTGCTAACGGGGGTACATGCTCAAATAATAATAATGACGGCTTTGTATGTGCGTGTTTTCCTGGCTGGACTGGAGCGTACTGTCATATAGGTTGGACATTTAAAAAAAAACTCAGTGTGCTTAGTCCATAAATTAGTCACCTTCAGTTAGTTAGTATATTCTCACGAGGGTCGGCACTATGCACGAGGACGGGCACTACGTAAGATTTTCAGAATATTTTCGTAAGGTGGTAGAAATGTACCTCGATTTCTCAATATTCAATGGCCGCCGAGATATCGTTTGGAGCGAGAGTGTCGCGTGTCTCTTGGCTAGCTCGCGGCGACCATTTTCCTCTAAGGTATATTTATGAAGTTGGTATTCTTTAACTAGTATGATTATTCCAACCTGTAGAACGACACCGTGCAATTATTCGTCCTTGTGGGAATGTCTTCATTTAGTAGCAAACTATCATGTCGTATCATATCTGGATTAGACACCATTCGATAGTTACATGTCATATCTAAACAGCACCAGTTATCAGTTTGTCAAAACATGGCTATTCACTGACAATAAGAATAACTGTCAATATAGTATTTCATTGAATAATTAATTAGTGTAGTCACGTAAATCTAACATTATATATTATTCATAGTAACCACTTTAGTAGTTCAAGTTCATGTCAAAACTATTACATGTAGTTTGTTAAAGTACACAATACTCGCATTTCGTCTCAATCGTAGTTATGCTACATCATTTTGCGTTGTTTTTTTCTACTCTGTCATACATAGTTATAGACTTTTGTGCCAGCAACCCCTGTCTCAATGGCGCTACGTGTGTAGGAGTACTCAACGGTTACACTTGTACGTGCCAGCCTGGATGGACCGGGGTGCTCTGTGAACAAGGTTAGCACGCGTGAACGTAGTGACTGTAATATATAATATTAATATTGTAATGCAGGGGTGAATTTCCCAACTAACGTTGACGTCACTATTATTGAGCGCTAATCGATGATGTAACAATTCCAATTAACTAGATATCACATTTATCGTGCATTTGTAAATGACGTGAGATTTGAGGTTCCAACTAACGCTGGTGTCACATTTATTATTCATCAACATAGATTTTTGTGCCGGTAATCCGTGCTTAAACGGAGCGATGTGCACTAGTCTTGCAGACGGGTACGTGTGCACGTGTATTGCTGGATGGACTGGAACGAACTGTGATATAGGTTAGACAAATGAAACGATGTTCATAAAACAACTAATAATCACTAAATTAACCGACTTTCAAAACTTAAAATAAAGCACCATCATAACATCAATTCACGGTTTATGTATAAGTTGTCATCGTCCATATATCTACATACATATGCACAGACTACTATAATTCATAATGACGTAATATAGGAACTATATTCAGATAATATCATTTACAACATAATTGGTAAAACAAGAACTAGTAGCACTATAGTTGCGAACGTTTAATAATGTACAAACGTGTATCAAATGGGCATCTATAATACAATTTAAAGCACAATTTAAATCCACACAAAACATTAAAAAATTTAGGGTGCCTCATCGTATTTACTCTCTAACGAAACCAGTGTTTCATTATTTATTTTCGTAGCAGTTTCCAGACAATGTTTTAAAAAAAAAAAATATGAAACTTAGCTACATGCGTGAATATCGCGTGCTTCTTAAATGTGTGTGATTTCAATTTGAGTTTTCGAAATATCTGAAAATAGTTCCGGTAGTGTTTACCCATGAGATAGTATCATGAATTGTTATATTTGATATATTTTCTTAGAACGTCTCACGAATGGCTAAACGATCTAAACTAACTGCACATCTATATTTGTATTGATCTTTGATCGCACATTGTTTCTTCAAATACTGCTAATATTGTGAAACTAGCCTTAAATACAGGCACTCGTGAATACATTACAGGTTGAAGAGTAGTAATATTCGAGGTGTGCAAAGTAAACTTGCACTGACGTAACCACATTAGATTGCGTAGATTTATAGTCGCTAATACAGTGTAGGGGAACTAGTCTCTGCGGCAATTCGCAATAATATCAATACTAATGCTTATCTCACGAATAACTCATACATATATCATATCAAAGGGTGGTTGTCGTTGCACAGCTCTTGCTTTAATTTCTTGTAAATAAACAAAATGTTTCAC